ACAATTGCAAAACGGAGATCAATAGAAGTTTTTAACGAAATGTTGAAAGATGGACTGAATTGTGACTCATTATTTGGTGGCAAGATTGTTGTCTTTGGAGGTGAGTTTAGTCAAACCCATTCTATTTTTATGAAAGTTGGAAAAGAAGACACACTTAATGCAAGCTTAGTGAATTCAGCTATCTGGCTTCACTTAAGAAAAGCTCAAATTATGTGAAAATATGTGAGCATTTCTTGATCCTAAGTTTCCAAAATTCTTGATCCGAGTGGGAGAAAGCACTAAATAAACTAACAGGAATGAGGAAGCATGTCTTGATCTGAGTGGGAGCATGTCTTGATCCTGACTTTCCAAAGTTCTTGATCCGAGTGGGAGAAGGCAGTAAGTAAACTAACAGGAATGAGGAAGTTCTTAAGATTCTAGAGTTCATGAATTTACCATTTCTAGATGATGATTCCTCCCTTGATACATTGGTCAATGCCATTTTTCCTAATATGCGAACTTTCTTAGAAGATGCAACTTTAGTGGTGAACCGGGCTATTCTTGTATCCATGACATTAATAACAAATTATTGGATAGATTTCTGGGACGTCAAAGAATATATCTCAATTACGATGAGGCTATTGATACACATCAATAGGCATATAATGCTGACTTCCTGAATACACTCATTCATAAAGGTCTGCCTCCGCATGAACTCAAGCTAAAACTGAATTGCCCAGTGATCCTCATCAGAAATATCAATCTGAATTGCTCGGTGGTGGACTTCTTTGTGTTGCTTAAAATAATTCACTATTGAATTTTCCATCCTCTTAACACTTCTTTTATGTATATTCTGATATGAACCTTGTAGTCAAGCAAACTCAACTATTACTTACTAGATTTTCTCCTTCATCATGCATATTTTCTTGCTACATCTTTGTCTTTTTTGCACTTCCTATGATTTCTTAAACATTAATTCATGTGACCTGCTCTCATACCTACACATTGTATAGATTTATGTTCATATGTAAAGTAACCACTACGAATTTAAAATTTCTAAATTTCCTTCTGGACCTTCATCAGTTTTAGCTATATAGTTGTAGGTCATGCAAAGATCTGTGCATTCCTCATAGACTAACATATTTATTGTTAATGAAATTGCCATTCCTCTGCTTTCGCCATATACGATTCTTTATATCCTATGCTTTCCAATAGTCATTTTTTATGTTGCTCAAACTTTACCTTATGAATATCTTTTCTCGTTTGGAATATCATCCATCTAATATTCTTTTGTGATCAATTATTTCAACTTTCCTAAGTACGTCTAAAACTAAACTTCTACTTTTATATATGTTTTAGAATTTAACAGCTCTCTTGTTCTAGGTAATACTCAAAACCAATAATTACTATAGTTCCTAATCTATTGCACCCCTAGCCGTAAATCGCATCATCTGAATTTTTCCATACAGTTTTTTACCCATTATTTACCTCATCTATCTGCTGTAAATTATCTAATTCGATGCTAGCCCTCTTACTTACCCCTAGAGAAAGACCTCAGTTTTATTCATTACTTTGCTCTCCTAAAACATCTATTTTATATACAAATCATAGTTCTCCGGTTGCTACAATTAAATGATCTATTCATACCTAGTAAACATTACTCAGTCCAGTATTAACTATGAACAAGTTTTCTATCTGCTGCTTCCTTGCTCTGCTTTCTGCAGTCGGAAATCTTTCTGGTCCATTTATGACTCCTAATCCTCTATAATCTGCATAGCATACGCTGCTCCTGTGATATGATTAGTATAATGAATAGCTTCTGAAAGACAGAACATCTCACCATCAGTTTGTGTAGACTACTATATATGATACATCCGTCTATCCATATAACAACAGGTTTACACTAAGAAATTATCTCCCATGCACTCTTATTGTTTGCTCTACTATTTATTTATATTTTTGGAATTTACTTCAGTTGGTCAATGGAACAAAGATGTGTCTTGATCCTTGACATCATAGACAGCAATCAAAACTAGTTTGCTAAGGTATTGGTTGTAGAAAAGACTCCAATGCACTATGGATGACGAGATAGAACGCCCTATATATGACTTATCCTTCCAGATACCATGGTAACGTATATTCCAAATAAAAAAGGGCAAATTACACTTTACCCCCCTGTAATTTAGTATTTTTTAAATAACCCTCTATGGTTTCAAAAGCTATACATATTGCATTAAAATGTTAAAATGTCGGAAATAATCATTCGTAATAGAGTCATCTAAAATGTCAAAAATAACTTATGTAAAGTTGAAAATTATTTGTTAACCAAGGGGGGTTAAGTGTATATTTTGAAAATCATAAGGAGGTTATATGGTAAAGCATTAAACCATAAGGGGGTTATATGGTGAAACATAAAATCATACGGGGTTAATGTGTCATATATTTATAAGGGTAATTTGACATCTTTAAAGGTTCCGTTTCGAATGATTATTTTCTTCACTTTAACACTTTAATCCATAAAATGCACTTCCTTTTGATGACTTCTATCATTTCACTCCATTTCAAGAACTTGATACCTATATAAGAGACGGCTCTGCCAAAATAAGTAAGTTTAATTCTAAACTCATTCCACCTTCTACTATTCTTGAACTAACACATCATTAGTATTTCATCTAATTAATCAATGAGCTTCATACCTTGCAGATCTACTCTGTATTCTCCTTCACGCATTCCCTCCACGCACCATCTCACGAGGCAACAAGTCATTAATGATCCAAGGGTTTTTTATGTTGAATAAAGAGTAAGAATTGTAGTCCTCACATTTGCCTAATTCTTATTTTTCACATAGGATAGATTCCTTATTGCAATCAATATGCAGAAAACGTCCACTTAGATTCTCCATGTGGGACAAATTCATATCAGTCGAAGGAGCAATCTTAAAATCCATGATTACTCATCATCCAATCATCATCACCACAAGAGCAAAAGTAAATCATCACCATAGTAAGTAATCTTCGTCTACCTATAACTTTATGCTATACAAACTGCAGCGTACAACCTTTTTTTTACACTTATCCTGAAACACACAGTTTTCTATCTATGAAGCTGTATCATTGGTACTCAACCGACTTCTATCATCCTATTTATTCCTGAGTTACTGCATGCAAATGCACTTAGAGATTGGTAACTAAATGCTCTCTTCAAATCATTATATGTGTATTAAACATCTTATGACTAACAAACTACTGCAGGCTAAAACAAAACACTGCATATGCTCAAGAAATCATCCAAGCAAAATTCTATGAAAAGCAGCACCAAATCATCAAGCCACTAGCCCCCTCACAGATTCAAGAAATCATTGCTATTTCCACTCCTAGCCAACAGGCATCTTCCAAAATTTCTTTTCTATAAACATTACAACAACAACTCTATTCATCTTTTTACTAACCGTACAAATTTTTCTTAGAATAAAACTTGTGGATCAAAGGACAAATAAGATAATAGAGACAAACTATCAATACTATTCTCTCTATTGCCCAAACCCAGCCTAAGCAAGAATGATTGGAGCAGTACCAAACACTTGCTTCAACTATCATTACTTTTGCCTCACTCACCCAAAGCCACTACCTAGGCAAGCATAGAAAGAGTATTACCTTTTGCACATCGATATACAATTTCAATCACCTTTAGACTTGGATTGCTTACACCAACAATTGCAACAGCAAAATGACAACAACCTTTTCCTATCTCATTGTTTTATTCTTTCTTACTCTTGTAGGTTACGATACTAGGTCCAACTATTTGATGCCACCAGAATTCTCTCAGCTTCAATAGAGTATAAATATGCTGAAGACCTCTTACAAATTGCCCTTAAGACCATTGTCTTAATGCATCTGCTAGTATGCACCGAATCCTCCCTACCTGAGAAAGTTCCTTTATATCAAAGTTTTGCAATGAACAGGCAATTAAACAAAATCCCTTATTACAAAATGAAGGACCTAATATTGAAGCAGTGATTAGAAAACTCTGAGCTCAGGAATTCTACATACACCTTTGCAACATAACTAAGCCATTTGACGCTGCACAACAACCACAATATACTATTTTCGAATATCTGTCAGTCTCCACCGAGGCACTAACTCACCAGAGTTCATCTCAAACCTCAACTTCTCCTCAGCTCTCTTCAACGCATATCAGTCCAACCACAGGCAGTGGAACTAGGTCAAAACCTCCACTTTTCTCCCCATGCATACAGAAATAGCAAGAAGCTCAGGAAAGGCCAGACAAAGAAGATGCTCCAGCAGAAGATGAACCACAGGCCAAGCGAACCAAATTCTAAAAAAACCTACTAGCACACCTCTCCCATAGACATGTCCTTGCGATCCTTTTATAACTATAGATTGTAAATAATGAATGCTTTTGTGCAGAATGCATTCCCAATTGCAGATAGCAGGTCAAAACAGATGCAAAACAAAAACAATCACTACCAAAATACTCACATGAGAGTAGATTTACTATAGTTTTGTATACAATAATACTAAGTATTTAGATGTTTCCTACATAGTATCCTCCTAGTTATCTCCTATCCTACAACATAAAAAACACTTAGATTTCTCCCATAACAAAAACACATTACTATCATATTTTTTTCACTTATCTTACCTATAGCCTGCCTCTTTCTCGAAATCAAGAAATGTATGATATTTGAGTAATCCTAACCTATCACCATATACTACCAAATCAAGCTCTCTAATCTGGTCGATAGGATAGGATGATATCAAAAGTTTAAATATTTGATGACTCTGGTTCGGATGGCAAGAAATAAATGGAATCAATATTTAATGAATGATAGAAGTTAGGATTTAGACACTGGGTGATGGAGTTATTTGTAGACTATCATATGAAGTGATTTATAACTACATATCTTAGTTAGCTATATCAATCATCCCTCGCATACGCATCGATATAAACGACCACTCCATACTATTAAAAGAACAAAGAACCTAACAGAAATAAAAATAAAATACAACTCAATAGCACCTTACATATTTATAACTTTCATCCTTCTATTAAAACAAGCAAGCCCATTACAAATAATAGAAACAAAAAGCCCACTCCAATAAAACAACGAAACAAAGACCACTTTACAATCTATTTCACTAAATTATATCCAACTCTTCCTACACACATAAACTATATAAATCAAAGCTATCCATAAGAATAACTAAACAACCACAACTTTGTAGCCACCACCACAACGGCCAAGACTTTTTCCACCAACTAACCACCTCCACTTCTTGGCATTCCTTCACACCATCGCCATAATACATGAGTTCGTGGAAGATCAACATTATACATGATAATAGTCTGCTGCTACATGGCAAGTGATACTCCTAGGAAAAAAATTATTATATTTCTTAATAAATCATATTCTTATTTTGAACATATATAATCATCAAACATATACCACTAAAGAAATGACTTACCACAAAAATGAGTAATTCGAGGCCTACAAACTAAAATAATGGGGTGCTGATGTGCAATTTGGATAAGATGCATACCATCTGGCTCAATAAAATCCTCCCACACTGCATATCATTAGCATCATCCTAAAGCCAAGAAAAAAATATTTAATATATGAGAAATAAAATCCACCAAAGAATAAAATAATCAATAAAAGAAATGCTATCACAAAACCTACTCTTCATTCGATATAAGAAATTCTTAAACACGTACATATCTTGTTTCAAGAAGAAAAGGTTGCAACGTTAAAACCTCAATCACGGCAGCAAGAACCGCTACAAGGAATACATATATATACACACACACATACATACATACATACACATACAAAATTGTCATAATCAAACAAAACATTGCTGCACCATCGCCCAAACGAATCAAACTAAATAACAAAATACCCAAGTTAGAATATGGACATTGTCATTGTCCGCTCAAATCTGCAAATGAAGTAAAATGATAGAGATGATGAACCGGCGGTACAAGAGGACCATCAACTAATTGAATAAAACTACGTTGTGTAATTACTAATTCAAAAAGAACCATTCTGATTCCTCCATCTACAAACGTCTCTGTTTTATATATAATAGGTAGAATATTTCATCCAAAGCATTCACATCATTTGATGAACAGTAGCTTGAACTCAATTTTCCTACAATATAATATCAAAAGAAAAATATAATAGACCTAGAAACGTAAAACACAAACACAAAATTATCCAAGGAAAAATATACAACTATCACTTACCAAATCATCAGCAAAAACAAACCGTTGATATCTTCGCCCCATGTAATGACTATGTTGAATCAACCTCTTTTCGACTATCACAACCCAAATAATGTACCCATGAGTTCTATCATCTAACTGATTAATTGACATATAATTCAACTCCATATCTTCAAACAAAACATTATTCCACAAAATAATTAAACAAATATTCCTCAAAATGATCAAACAAATACAACCTAACAATTACATAGCAAGAAACCCCTAATACGAACACTAGTAAAGCACCATCCAATTCATACAAATGTCATAAATAGCCATAGAAATTCATGCCTACCATGCACTCTTCACCAGCCCAACCAAGGTTTTTATAGAATAAAAACTCCACCTTCATGCAGACTAATGAATCTAGCCTCATACCTATCACACAAATAGAAGCCAAATTGCCAAGTTTCAACTTAAATAAAAAATTTGGTAGTCATGCATATACAAAGCCAAAGATTCCTACTAGCACACATCCATGCAAATTCTCATCATTTTCTAGATAAATTCTACTACCCCACAAAGTATCTAATATCACTTGCTATTCGTACAACAGCATCAAAAATTTAAAAACCCTGCATGCACAAATAAAACATCTAATACCCGCATAACTCTTAACAAAAACAATGTTTCTGCCCGAGCAACCTGATGCAAAGCATCAAGCCCCCACAACTAGTTGATACTTTAACTATATTTTGTAGTTGAATTTTAATTCTTGGATGAATGCACCTAAGTAGCACGTAGCTAGTATGTAATAATTACTTTAAATATCTTTAGAAACTCTTTTAAGGGTGTTACTAGAAAGTTACAAGTCTAAAACCTCATACTGATTTTATAACTATAATAGAATGACCAAACTACTCCTAGATATTATAGAACTTATTGTAATTAATTTGCAAAATAAGATAACTTTCAAAAGTAAAGAGCATGCAAATAATTCAATATAGAGAAAAGAATAAGAAGTACCTTCTCCATCAGCCAAGGAATCAATAAGGTGCATTCTCTTTTGGATAATAAACTTGCACGTTCATGACTGCATATTCAAATTATATATGTTTGTAACAAAGCTTGTCGTAAAAGGGCACATGAGAAGGTTGCCGAACTTGCAAGCTGGCCAAGAAATCCTCTATCTAATATCATCTTTAATTCGCAAGAACTACTCTAAATTAGGCTAGTTCTCAAGTTGTATTCAAAATCTAACTACTGTTAGCAATTTCTTGGTTTATACTATTTAATACTTGAAACGTATTGATTTGTTTCAGGATATCCAGAAAATAGTATAATTTCATATTGTTAGGTGCTGATTTTATTATTTTTTATAACGACCCCACCTCCTCTTAGGGTGTACCTCAAGGTTTGGCGGACCGTCTGTCCAGCTCTCACCAGGTCTCACACATAAGTCCCAATACAATACCAGAGCATCGAGAACAAAAGCAATAGTAACTTTGAAACTTAGATATATACATTCGTAATCATTGAATTCCCATACGGATCCAAAATATAACAAGAGATTCAAACTCAAGTTAACCCGCTAAAATTAGAAGAACACCAGAACAAAAGACAAGGGACCTAGACCAAAATGCCAGCCTTCTCTAACTCACACGCCCACGTTTTCGCCCCCTGTAAGGAAAACAAACTAACGGAGTGAGCTATCACCCAATGAGGTTCCAAGACAACATGCAAACAAAGTAGCAAGTTGGCAGTTACATATATCTTAATCTCAAACTAAAAAAAGTAAATGTTCACAAGATAAGTCAGTAACATTTCAAGTAAACAAGTCAGATAAGCAATTAACACTTTCACGCATAAGGATACAGTTTGCTCTTGTGAGCTAGTTTGGCAACAACTTGACCAGGATCCGCTGACACTTCATCAACCATAGGAATATAGTAACAAGTCCAGTAGAATACCGCTTATCTCCAATCTCCGTCCATCGATCAATCCCTACTGGGCCCAAACTCTAAAAATAATAGTAGGGGTAATACTCGAGTATACTAAATCCAATGGATTGAATCCAATGGAATAAATAATAAATAGTACCTATGGTTTGTCAATCTCCTCAACCATGCTCTTGTTGGCTCGATTCGACTAACTAGCCAATGAAGTTTGGGATCCCAAAGAGTTACTTCCAAATCATGCACATGAACATCAATTCATTTGCAAACAGTGCACAGTACTATAGTCCAGTTAGGGCAAGTGCGATAAGATACACATGCGACCAACCAAAACAAATCAAGAGCATAGCAATAACATTCATTCAATCACGATCTCGTGTCAAGTATTGCTTATTCACATCAAAAGAGCATTTCAATCAGGTAGCAATTTCTACCATGCAATTGGTATACTCACCAACTAATTAAGGTCTGTCAATGTCAAGCTCAGACTCTGCTTCTTAGCCACTTTCGAAATTTGCAATTAGACATCATATAACAAGAAGCCATTAGCGGTTCAAAATCACACCTTTTACTTGTGAAAATTAATGAAAAAACCATGTAGATGTAGCTCAATACCACAGGCACAACATGGAGCAAAATTATGTTAAATGTAGGCATGACTTTTTGAAGAAAAGTGACAAAAATCTCGAGTTTAAAGCTGGACACTTCCAACTATAAAACGTTTTGGAATAAACATCATTTGCCTCATCTTCAATCATTTTGTTTTGGCTCAAAACCAACAGATATGTGAAAAATCAAGGTATTCCCAATTAACTCTAGTAAAGGAGGTCAAAATCATTCTAAACTTACACCTCAACTCTCACTCTCTCACTTGACCAACCAAGAAAGAATTTGCAGCAATATAACCCCAAATTCCTCAAGTTAACCTTTCAATTTTCAACCCTATTTTCATGGCAAAATCACTATCAATCAAGATAACATATCATAGGGTGTATGAAATATCTTTTTGGCAACCAAATCCACCAAAATTTCACATGTATAAAGTTCTAAACTAAGCTACATATATCTTACACCAAAGCTGGAAATTTCAATAAAACATGATAAAAACATAGCTTCTATCGCTACATGTATCAAATAAATTTCAGGATAAGAAAAGAAAGAGAAGTTTTCTAACAATTTACCTCAAAACCCTAGGTTAGAAAGTAAATCAAGGTCTTTCTTCCTCCAAGAACTTCACCAAAAGCTCCCTTTCACACTTGCTTCAAAGATCTACGAAGTAGATTAGGGTTTTTTTTTTGTTTTCTCATGAATCAAGTAAGAGATTAAGGTTAGAACTTGAGGTTTTTTTCTCTCCCTTTTCTCTCTCTATTTTCGGCCACAAGAAGGAAAAACGAAGGAGTTTTGGTTGTGAAATGGAAGTTAAATACAAGACTTATCTTGGTCAAAGAAGGCTTGGATCATCGACATTTGGCAAAGCTTGGTTCAAGCCTATCTCCTTGTCTCTCTTGATTTGTCTCTAATCTCCAAGATCTTTAATGCTTCTCCAGTTAAGTTCTAACACTTCTTGTTACATAATCTCCTTTGCACAAAACTCTTTCGTGTCCATCAAATTTATTGCACACACCTCACTAGTTAGTTACACTAGTATAATGCACTACGAAACTTAACATATACCAAATTATATAATGAAAATGTCGCGCCCCACTTTTTGAAATGTGAATGTAGTGTGTGGGATATGTATGTGAACGTGTGTGAAAATGAAAATAAAATGCCGTGTGATTGTGAAATGCGACGGTTTGGCCAAACAAAGTTCAAAAAGGGTTTTTGAATGGAAAATAGAATCGCCACTTGGTATAGAGTTAGGGTGTATCAAGTCACCCAAAAAAGTGATTTCTTGGAAAGAAAAGTAAACAAACCCTTTTTAAACAATTTTAGATCTACGTAACCAAAGAAAGGGATCGGGAGTCACATTTGATAAGGGAGAAGGCAAAGGCAAAGCCTAAGGCACTCCCTTACCCTAGCCAAAGCTAGTTGCGTGACTTAGCCCCACTTTTCCAATTTTTTTTCTACCCAAAGTATGTGTTGCATGTTGGATATGACTAATGGATATGAAAAAATGCAATCCTAAATCTAAAATGTCTCTTATGAGGCTTTTTGGTCCCAATCACATGAGTTGTGATGGCCAATAAGGAAAACTCTCATAGAGGTCACGGGTAATGCAAATGAAGACCCAAATATGAGTGCAAGTGTGAAAAATGTAAGAGAAGTGCAATGTGTGCAAATGTAAGAAAAGTGCATGTGTGCCAATTGAGAAAATAAAGGTGTTTGTGTGCAGGTGGATGAAAATATGGTATAATAGTAGTAAATGCATATAAGTGCGATTGGGTGCAATTTGTGAGGTAGAAAATAAATAAGTGATAGGGAAAGAAGAAAAATGTGTGAACATGGCATGTGGAGTGAGAAAAATATAAGTAGTGAGAAAATGTAGATAAAGAAAGTGAGGAAGTGATATGATAAAAATGAGAGTGTATGCACCTAGAGGAATGCATCAAGTCGGGTACGGGAATGACTCCTAACTTCATGATTTTTAATTTTTCCTTTCATTAGAAGGAAGAACTAGCGTGCTAAGGCTATTTTGTAGCCATACTGGCTCGTTTCCCTTACCGAAAGGGGACTCTCAAGCAAATGTACCCTATAACTAGCATGAGGATGCAAAAACCTAAAATAAAGGGGAAAGGATTGGAGGAGCATGCCAAATGCTAGAAAACTAAGAAAAATGTATGAAATGTAGTGAAACATGCAAGTATGCACTAACGAGAGGGGACGGCCTATTGGGTCTAGCATTGGACTAGCCTTTTACTAACGATCATTTACAAGCATTGGACTTGTAAGAACTCGAGGGGGAGGCCATGACTAGCATTGGACTAGCCACGGTGACGTGCATTCACCCACATAATCAGATATAATACTAAAGCAAATAGACATGCAAAACACATAGTTTCACATAGCACGTAACACATAAGCATGCTTGTCTAGATGCAAAAGCCTATGAAAGCGGTAACAAATAGCACATAGGCATGCAAATCACCCAAAGAAAAACAAAGAAAACCTAACTATTACATTTGGAGGGGGAAGCCTACTACAATCTAAAAGGGGAAATAAGAAGAAATAAAACGATTAAATCCCTAACTATTACAATTTTGGCATTCGAGTGCCTCCCAAATAATCAAAATGAACTAAAATAAATATACGAAATTAAGACAACTAAAGCGAGTAAATAAATAAATAAAATGAAAACATTCACAAAAGACATGCAATTAACACATAAATCACATAAGTACACATAAGGTCGAATAAAGTAAAAATAAGTGATAGGGTGTACCTCCCTTGAGTTGGCCCTAATGGAGTGAAATTACTTTTACCCTCCAAAATAAAAGAAAGGGTCAAGACATCGCTTTAATTGGCAAATGATCATGAAATTGAAAATAAACATGAAATTGAATCAATTAAATCATATAAACAACCCACATTCCAGAAGTCAAAAGAATAAAAGACTTGATTGCAAACATTAACAAAGTAAAAATAAGGGATAGGGTGTACCTCCCTTGAGTTGGCCCTAATGGAGTGAAATTACTTTTACCCTCCAAAATAAAAGAAAGGGTCAAGACATCGCTTTAATTGGCAAATGATCATGAAATTGAAAATAAACATGAAATTGAATCAATTAAATCATATAAACAACCCACATTCCAGAAGTCAAAAGAATAAAAGACTTGATTGCAAACATTAACAAAGTTTTGGGATCAAAATTAAAGAAAAATAAAGTTTAGGGACCCATTTGCAATTAAATTAGGGATTTGCCCAATTGAAAGAAATTAGAAGTTATTAGGGCCACAGTGAAGATATCCAAAAGTACAGGGACCCATTCGTAATATTCATTTTCTGATTTCTTAAAGGATCAGGCCATTGGGCCATTTGCTTATTTGTTTGGGCCTAAGACTCTCTCTAGCTCAACCGAAATTCAGAGCAAAAAGAATGGACCGTTTTATCATTTAAGACCCCAAAATTAGCCAACAAAACGATGGGTTTCCACCCTCTAGCCCAAACCAAAAGCCTAAGATAATAAACTAAACCCACTCTCTTAAACCCAAGCAAAATAAACTCTCAAACCCCAAACCACTTATTTCACTAATACCCAACATGGAAAAATCATCTAAAATTAATAAACCACAATTATAATCTAAAATCAAGAATTAATCTACACAAAAGACTAGTTAAAAAAAAAGATTAAAAGATGATTAACATCCACAAGGACAAAATAAATTCAACTTTTCCAAATTTGGGGCTCAAAATTGAAGGAAAGATGAAGTTCAAGGGCCAATTTGCAATTGCAGCAGGGACTCTATTGAAAGCATTTATAAAAGCCTTGGGGTCAAATTATTAAGTCCTAAAAACCTTGGGGTTAAATTACAAAGAAATGGGACATGGAGGGGCTGTAAATCAGAAAATAATCATCTTCTCCAAACGGCTCAATCATCAGACTACATTTCGTTCTTCCTTGCAGACGGCAAACACCAGAAAATTCATCTTCAATCCGCAGGTCATTCTAAAATAATGAATAAAAGAAACAACAAAACTCTTCTTTCTACCACAGAATGAATTGTTACATTTTGACAAAAGTATTGAACTTGCTGCTCAATCGTTTCTTCACATGAAAAAATGCAGGCAAGTCATTTTCCAAATAGAACTTTCATTTAGGCATTTTGTCGAACAGGAATTGGGCATAAGGAGTTTCACCGAATTCTTTGTTCAATTAGAGGTTAATTAGCCCCAAAAATTCATCAGAAACCCAAAGAAATTCAACCCACTCAATACATAAAACAGGCATGTCCAAAATTGCGGATAATCACTGAAAAATTGTGGTAAACAAATCTGCTTTGAGCTTTAAGAATCTGAGCATGAAATTTGAAGGAAAGGGATAGTTTACCTTACCCTCTCGGTGGAGGCTCGTCGGTGATGGCAGTAGATTTCGGCCAGCTCCAGTCTTTTCCAGCCGCTCCTCTGCTCTTCTCCTTCTAGCTCTCGGTTGTCCTCTGTTCCTTTTTCCCTCGCCCAAGCCTTCAACTGCCCGAAGCTTCTTTTTCAGCCTTTCTTTGTTGCTTTGTTTTTTTAGCCGCCACTCCCAATCTCTCTTAGCTCCTCCGTCCTCCGCCCTCTATTTTTCTTCGTTTTTCTTTTCCCCGCCAAAGTCTCTTTCCTCTCCCCTCTGGTTTCCTTTCTTTTTTCTGTTCTTCCGTCGCTCAGATTTTTTGTTCGGCTCTCTCTCCGTTCTGTCCTCCGAAAACCTCCCCAAGTTTCCCAGGTTTCCCTTTCGGTTTCTTTTGCTTCAATTCTTTCTCCACCACACCAGCCGCCAATCCCCCTCTGTTTTTTTTTTGTTACTCTTTCCCGTAGCCTTGCTCTGTTTCTTTTCCTTCTTTTTTTCAGCCGAGAGCTCCCTCGTTTCTGTCTATCTCCCTCCTTTTCTTTCTTTGGTTCTCTCCCTCAGCCGAATCCTCTCCTCTCTCTTTTCCAATTGAATTCTTCCCTTTTGTTTTCCGTTTCTCTCCTTCCTCTCGGTCCGCCACCCCCTTGGCTATTTCTTACTCTTAGCCCCCTTTTCACTTCCTCTGTTTTGCTCTGTTTTCTTCTCACTCTCCGCAGCCTCCCTCTCTGTTTTTTTTAGCCTTTTCGTAGCTCTCCTCCTTTGGCTTGCGGCTCCTTTCATTTTAAAGGCACCCCAGAGAAACTAAACCTAAGATGAAAGGCTAAGATCTCATCCTCCAAATAGTTCCATGTATCTTTTAATTGACTTTTCTTTTTGCAGCATGACTTGACTTTTTCCTCTTTTTTTTTCAATTTTATGCTAAAATGTCTAAAAATGAGATTAGTAAAACAAAAATAACAAATATCGATAAAGATTAAATTAAATTAAAAATAAAGCCAAATTTTGGTGTCTACAGAAAAGGATAAAATCATGACTCAACCATTAAACTAAGCAAGAAATTAAGGCAAGTAAATTGAAATAAATAAAATATAAATTAGCTTAATAAAAATACAAGAAAATATAAAATAACTTTTGAATCCTCATATTTTTAGCACATACAGAGCACATCAAGATATAGCACACAATATGCACAAATTAGATCTTACCCAAAAAATAATAATCAAATGGCTAAATTATCATGTAAAGTGACACTGTTTATATTTGTTGCAATCAATCTTAAGTCTCAATTGAAGCTATGAAATAATTGATGAAACCATGAAATGGGCATTGGAACTTACATTTTCTTTTCCATTGGGCATGTCTTGAATAAGGCAACCGAAAGGAAACATCCATGTTCGTGAAGAAGAAACATCTTTAGCACCTTAAAGCAATCATAGGAAACATTTACTATCACTCACATTGTTGAATCACGTTGTCGAATATAATGAAGGAATGTCAACTCCGTAGGTGCAACAAGAGGTGAAGGATGTGCAACTTTTCACGCATCTATAGTAACATATCCGTTAAAATTAATCAATTTTGTAATCCAATAGCTACTAAGTAATCAAAATTCCATTAAACAGAATTGCATAAGAATTGTACCACATATAAAGAACCACCCCTTTCCAATTATCAAGCACTTCAATTGTCTTTGGTGACAATTGTGGAAAAATCCATTCATTGTTTTGGAAACATGAATAAGATATTAAAACACAAATAGGATAAATATTATTAAATCTAATACAATTAAATCATAGATAGTATCTCATATGTGATGGATTGAGGGGAAAAAGAAAAAAAATAAAAGGAGCAAGAGATATTAGAGTGATCCGGATCCTGAAATATATCAATCAAGTGCTTGCCAGTAGTTGGCACAAGTCCTGAATCTCTTGATGATTCTATCCAAGAATTACAGCTATTGATATGGGACATTTTGGGATATTGCTTGTTGTATTTCACAATGAATAAGATATCTCTCATTAGTTGGAGACTTGACCCATAAGGGCTCATTTTCTTGAAAAAGCTCTAATAATTCTTCCATGGCATTAATAACAGTTTCAACCATGATAGATTTTTCCGTCTCTTGTATTCCAGGGAACTCGTGAGATAACAATGGGTTCATTGAAGACCCCGGAATATTTTCAGCTAAATATGATAGGGGCTTAAAATGTGGTGAAAAATAAGATTCAGGTATTCTGGATCTTCTAGAGAAAATGGATTCTACACTGGATGCCCTCTCAAACTGCAAGTGTAGCAAAACAAATTAATCAGTAGTAGTTAGGAATTGTAAAAAGAAAATTAGATTTTGTATGAGTTATAGAGATTAATACATGAAAATAGATGAGTGTCACTCTTTTTTCCACTTGTAGTCTTTCTAGATTTCTTTGCTTTGCTTCTTCTCCAAATGATAACCCCTGACATTTTGGGCATGCAAGAATCCTTAATGCTTCTCTCATAGTAAGATTCTCACAAAGGAATATGTCATTATCAACTCTAAAGGCATTTTTGTCAGCTCATTCATTATGACTCTGAAAATGTAAATCCCAAAAAAAGGAAAAAAGGTCATATTATCGTAGATGATTTTCGATGTCCCTAAATTTTTATTTGAAATCATATTTAGTTCCTATAGTGTGACTACATGTGCAACTCATGTGACAACCGTCAAAGGCATCGCTTTCAAAAATAACATTGTCCCGGAGAAATAAAATGTAAACCAGTTCCCACAATTTTTATTTCCCAACACATTCCAGCACTCTTTACTCTCTATGTCGAAAATTGTCAAGTCCAACTCACAAAAGTCAATATATATATATATATCATTAGTTTTCTAAATTTCTTTTGAATGTGAAATGGGAAAGGAACCTGAATAAAGAATCCAAATATTTGAGCATGAAATATTCATTAAAAATGTCAAAAAGCTTTTTGGAAGCTATCAGATGTTTAACCAAAACATGGATATAGATTATCCATTAATTCACTTATGAAAGGAAAGTATAGAACTTGAAGCAACATATTTAAGCACAAGGACATTCCAATTTCCAATCATCCAATGAATCTCATGTATTCATCTCATTTTCTAGAAAGAAGCCATAGTATTTTCCCCCTAAGTTAGTTGCCTGTGAAATTGACAAATTAAAAGAGCAGTTGATGGACCTATCCTCCATACACTTTCAAAATTGGGTGAGAGCAAAGATTCAATAGCACAAAACAAAAAAAAAGGCTTGATCTTTGGCTCTTCATAGGCTTGATCTTAGAGAATAAGATACTACTTATGAGTTGCATTATGCATTGACCCAGTGACGACCCCACCTCTCACTAAGGCGAACCAAAAGGGTTTGGCGGAACGTCAGCCCAACTTTCGTCAGGACTCATGCACTCATTCAACCTTAATAAGGGATCACAAATTAACCATCGACTTAATTAAGAAGTATTTCAAATATACAAACTCGAAACTCCCAAGTATACCATTTATGATTACAATCACAAAACCCAAGTATACAAAGTTTACGCTTTAATGGGCTCTAATAACATACAAAAGTATACTAGCTTCCATCAAAAGTCGCTAGTTTAAAACTTCCAACTTCCATCTCCAAAGTCTGTTAAGGAAAAACAAACTTAAAGGGATGAACTAACGCTCAATGAGGCCAAGAAAACAAGCAAGCACATAGGACCAATTAATCGAATGGCATATTTGAAAGCATCTTTAGCATGAACTTTCATTTAAATGCACAAGTAGGAAATAAACACACAAGGAAGGATACAGAAGCTCTCAGGAGCTATTTCCACGTTTCGACCGCTTCAAGCCATCTGGGGTTGACTCTCCATCAACTCAAGTAGTAACATGACCGTAGTGCTCCACTTACTTCCTCCATCCAATATAACACCCTCTCAAATCCGGAACCAAATACGCATGAGGTGGCAATACTAATCGAGTATGCCAAATAAGATCTCAAAAGATCAAGCTATAAAATTTTCCACGGTTCACCAAACTTCTCGACCAAGCCTTTGCTGGCTCGAGTTACGAGGTTAGCCAATGGGTTGGGGTGTCCCTAGAAGTATAAGTGGTCGATGAGACATCGCTCCAATCGACTTAGAATTGTGTATGACTCTGAGTCGGTATTAGAGGCACCTCCCACCCAAATAGGATGTGGTACATGCTTCCGCTCAGAGAATAGATTATAGCACTGAATCGCTATGAGAGGCACCTCCCACCCGAATAGGGTGTGGTACATGCTTCCGTTCAGTGCTCACGAGTTAAACATGTTCATGCACAAATTCAAGTCATATATATTCATTTAACAAGTATCATGTAATCAGGAGAGAGAGAGGACGAGGGCAGTAAAGTACACCCTCGTCTCGGCAAGTTCATGTATCATATAGCACTTGTACAAATAGCAATTTAATCATAGTAACACTGAACATACACTTGACACTCACCAAAAGTCAAGGCAAAACAAGAGCAAAGCGAGAAGTCAGATGAGCTCTTCGGCGTCCTTGTAACCAGTTGAAACATGCACAATCATGATTACCGAGGTACTCAACCAAGGTTATAAAGAAAAAATATTTTCTCGCTACCCACTCTCAAGGTCACAAGTCGAGTCAAGTTAAAGGAGTTTTTCTCACTAAATCATTGAAATAATACTCAAAGAGAACTTAAAGGTTGTTTTTCGATACAAGTCCTGATAATAAATCTCAATTCCCAAAAGAAAGTACTATATTTACTTTCGGTACGAAAATCGAGAAAAAGGGGTAGATGGTTTCCATCTCTCAAAACTTTTAATCTCATGTCCAAAAGTTAGAATATAAAGAACGTTCAAATTTTCCAAACTAATGGAGTCAAAACTCATCCAAAACTCCACTCATTTTCATAGTAAATGCCAAGCTAAAGGTTCCAAGTTTCGAGTATAAAACTAGTGAAATTTTTCAAAAATTACTCTAGTTAATAAGTTCCTTTTTAAAGTTCAAACTCATGGAAATCGAAGGTATAAGACTAGGGATTGAGGTCCATTTCTCAAGTATGAAATGAGGTGCAATTAACCAAGAAAGTTGAACAACAAAGAAAACGCATCAAGAGAGGTTTAATCCTTTGGAAACCGAGATTCAAAATGAAGGTTTAAACTTCAAAGAGACCTTGTATCCAAACATGAAACTAAACTTAAAACGGACCGACAATCTCAAAGAAAGGTTGAAAGTGCTTAAAAGAGTCCTTTGTTTAAAACCAGAAAATTTCCAGTTTGGTGTGACACTAATTGGAAAAATCATATCTCGAGTTCCGTAAGTCCAAAAATTAGAAACTTTATACCGTTAGAAATTAGACTTGGTGCACTAAAACTCTCTAGAAGACACTTTTCTCTAATTCCAATTCAAAATCATTCAAATTTTAGCTCAAAATTACTGTTCCAGACAGGGCAGACCAAAACAAACTTGCGATTTCAGTAAATTTTGGAAATTTGAAAAAATTCGTAGAAATGGAATCATCCCTTGAAATTTATATCACACATGGGATTCCAAATCTAGTTTCAAATGTAATAAACAGAACTCAATTCGGATCTTTCAACACCAAGATATAACAATTTTAAGAAAACTGATTTTTGGAACCAGTTTACGAAATTTTCAGTTCTGAAGTACTTCATAGAGTTTCAAAATCTGGTCATAACTAGAGCTACACAACTCAAAATTTAGCGTGGTTTGTGGAGTTGAAAACTAGATTCAAAATTCTAAAATT